GCAGTCAGCGACCGCCGTAGATCTCGCGATGATTGTTCGAATGGCGTTCCCCTGCCGCGGGCGGCCCTGTGGGAAGCCCTTTTTGGATCTCCTGGGGGGGCTCCTGGGGCCTCTCGAGGCCTTGTAGGACGCGTGTCGGGCCGTCTTGGGGCCGTCTTGGGCCATTTTCGGTTGCCTTCAGAAAGAGTGCGTCAGGACAGACTGGAGTCAGTAGGCCAATGCCGGATAGATGAAAGCGCAACCAAGGACAGCATGGTCCACAGGCGCACGTCATTCGAAAGCAATTCACGTCCCCAATCTCTTTATCACCCGAAAGGTGATATCATATTTGTGTCTCCACCCTCCGGGCAGATTTCGTTGACATAGTTGTTCGTTCGATGGTTACGTTTAGCATGCGGTTGCACGGAGGCGTGATTTCTATGTTGTGGTGGTTCGTGTTGGATCTAGTTGGAGCATGACACACTGCAAAACGAGAGTTCATGCGTATTCCCCTCAACACCACGCTGTGCTACATCTCCATCTTGTGTGGATGACGTTGTCCCAGCCACTTGAGGGACGAGACAAAAGTTTGGGATCGGCGAGAAGTAATACCTCGTAAGATTGATGAGTGCACCGACGGGGCACCTCGGCAGATTGAGGAGGGGATGGTTAAGCAACCCATGGGCAGCCAGAAGTTGTTACGGTTGAGCGCCCTTGGATTGGGCGGTGCCGACACCAGTGAAGATTGATCATTCGGTCGGATTCTTCAGTGTGGTCGGTCGCTACCCCGCAATAAAACAATATTGGTGTTGGCTTAATGAGTTGCCAGCTCAGATTGCACGCACCACGCAGCCCAAAGTTATGTTGTCGCACCTATACCGCGCTGCTTGTTCTATGCATGTTCTGCCTGCACGTTGTGCCCGTATTCTCTGGAATAATGCATTCGTTGAACCGATGCCGCATAACTAGCTGGATTGGCAGGCGTTGTTTTGTTGCGCGCTACTTTAAAGTTTCTTGGAGCCATTATCTTCGCATGCATACCGTGCGTGTTTTTTGTTGGACGCATTGATATTACTTCTGTCCGAGTTTCTAGTTCGAGTCGATCGCGTTGGTGCATGCCGTTCCCGATGACATGTCGTGTTCATGCATTTGTGTGTACGTCCTCGTTTGCATCCATGGTCTGCGCAAGCAGCTAGAGATAGCACAGTACCATTGAGCAGGAGTCGGCGGCGAGCGAGGGGAGAGTGAGAAGGAGAAGGCCTTCTCAGAAGGCGGCGGGCCTTCTCGGAAGCCCTCGCGCCTTCTGAGAGGTTTGTTGTGTTTTCGGGGAAGGCTTAGAAAACTTCTCACAAGGCCAAGGGACTTCCGAACCTTCTGAGAAGGCCTTCTCCTTCTCACTTCCCCCCCTCGCCCGCCGCCGAAAGATACCTAGGCCATCCACTACCGAAGACGACGATACCCAGCCCTACCTCGACATCGACTCTTGAGTCGTCTGCGGTTGTTACCCATGCGCCATGACTTGGTTGATAGGTTGGCCACATCAGTTGCCACCTGACACCCTCCGAGCATGGATATGGTTATCGTGACCACCCACGCACGAGTATTCGCTCCTGTGCACAGGGCCAGAACCGAAAGGCCCGCGGTCCTGGTATATCACGTGGGACGCGCGCACACGGATTTCCTCCTCGCATACCGCGCCACCCTCCACAGCACACGGTTCGAGCTCATTTGATTGTGTAATTAAGATGTGGTGCTCATTCGGCCAGCTACATCGGTTGGCACAGCTGTGCTTATTTGTGTTTGCGCATCCGGCACCGTGCGCCAATACGCCCAGGGACTTCTAGAGTTTCCACAGCCAGGACGACGGGTCCAAGCTACAATATTCCCCAGTTTCCATCTTGGCCAGGCCGACAGTCCTTGGCGCACGCAGCACGGAGAGTCCAGACGCAGTCCACGACCTCCAAGTGCGGGCAGCAGTACTCCAGATTTCGTAATAAAGGGAGGGGGGTCTCATTTCGGGGGGTGGTCTCTTCCAGGCTATCTTGGAGGGCCTGGGGGGGTCTGGGGACGATGTTTTGGAGGGTTCTCCCACGAGGGGGGGTCTGAAATGGCTTGTCTTGGAGGGTCCAGACCCCCTCCCTTTTATTACGAAATCTGGAGTACCCGTTGCAATCCATGAGGAACAGGGCGACTACCACACCCGAGCACGGGACAACGACATCTGACTTGGTCATCGCCAACCCCCGCGTTTCCGTTTGCTCGCCTCTCCGAGCGACCCAGGCAACGACGTGGTTTTGGCCAGTGGCCTCGGAGGCACACGGCGGGCCCCTACATTCAGATTTCGTAATACAGGGAGGGGGGTCTCATTTCGGGGGGGGTCTCTTCCAGGCTATCTTGGAGGGCCTGAGGGGGTCTGGGGACGATGTTTTGGAGGGTTCTCCCACGAGGGGGGGTCTGAAATGGCTTGTCTTGGAGGGTCCAGACCCCCTCCCTTATATTACGAAATCTGGAGTACATTCAGATTGTTTCCGATGACCGATTTGCCCCAGCAGCCCCCACCACGGACGAAAGCGTGCGGCCAACCGGCGAAACGACGGGTCTGTTTCCGAATGGTGCGTATTAGGGGGATTCGTGTCGCGTCACGCCTCTCTCTGCGTCGAATCCATACCTGACTTTTCTCAGCCACGTCGAAACCGCTGTGAGTCCACACCAAACCCGCGTCGAGTCCGCATCGAGCCCGCTTCGGGCACAAGAAGATACACCAGTCTGGGGACAGAGGCGGTTCCCCGAAGATGCAACGTGAGCTTCCTGACCCTCCGACGGATACCCCGCCCCGCTCCTCCGCTAACGGTGCGGACGCGCATGGCCCCGGCCCTTGTGGCAGCCCACTAGGACCTCAGCAGCAGCCATTACTTCATTACTTCCAACAACCCGCTAGCTACCCATCGCAATCAGCACAATGTAGGCCTCTTGGAGACCTATTGGGAGCCTCTGGGCTGGAGGACCCCAAAGGCCCCTTCGAGTTTTCCTTTCGTGGGACCCTCCTGGGAGCCTCTTGAGGGATTCGTGGGGGGTTCGGTGTCGCCCTGGGGCGATCACGACGGCCTGTTGGGTTGCACTGGGCGTTCCTGAATACCGAAATTGTGATTGTCCGAAAAAACATACACCACCCCAAATGCGTCGGGGGGGGGCAGACCTCCTACCCTGACACGTCGATTAGCGAATTGTCCGTTTTCGGTTCGCGAGAGGGCGTCGCGGCCATCATTTTTGCGGGTCCAGGTCTGTCGGTTTCGGTCCCAGGCCGTTTTCACTAAAGGGAGGTCTCATGAAGGGAGGTTTGTCCACCGCCGAATGCGTCTTAGTGAGTTTGGCCCCTTGGGTCGGCCCCCAGCGCTTCCCAGACGGCTCCAGAGGCCCCAGGAGGGCTCCAGGACGACCCCTGAAGCCACTTCAGCACGTTGGAAGTCCAGGTTCCGAACCACGCTCCGACGGCCTCGTCCCAGGCAGACCGAATCGCCCAAGGGCGCCCAGGGCCCAGGAATCGGGGGGTTGACAGACCTCCTACCCTGACACGTCGATTAGCGAATTGACCGTTTTCGGTTGGCGAGAGGGCGCCGCGGCCGTCCTTTTTGCGGGTCCAGGTCCGTCGGTTTCGGTCCAAGGCCGTTTTCACTAAAGGGAGGTTTATTAAAGGGAGGCTTGTCCACCGCCGAAGGAAGTCCGAGAATCCAGTGCCCATCAAGAGCATCCACAATTCCCTGTATAGAGACGGATGACGTTTCATGTTTTTGTTCGGGGCACGTTGGCGGATCTCAGCAGCATTCGGTCTGTCGTGTTTGATGTCATTGGATGGCGTACATAAGTTTCTAGGTAGCGGGGCCGAATAGCGATTCCCAGATGCACGAGTGAGAAACAGAAATGCCAAGACCATGGATGCACGTTGATTGCGGATTAGAGCATGCACCAGTGAGCAGCAGCGAATTGTATTGACCGCAGGAAGCGTCCCAAGAATGTGTGGAGTGTGTTGCGCAGCGCGGAATGAAACACGCGTGAAGAAATAGACAGGGGAAGGCGCCCAGAAAAAAGACATTGGGACCTCGAAGATTGTTGAGGCGGAGCATGCTTGACTGTAGAAGATATGTGAGCCATGTCAAGCGCAATGCAGGCATGTGACTTCCAGCGCGGCAATTTCATGCGTACGTAACAGAATGAGGGAGTGACAGGCGGATGCGAAGATCAGAGGAGGACTACCATGTGCTGGTTCACATTTGAGATCTTTCGATGCAGCGCTTGCAATTCGGTTATTCGTTGCGTGTTCTACACTGACACTTCCTTGGCGGCTTCAGAATTAGAAACCGTTCGTGGCGACATTCAACTCTAGTCCTCCGTGTATGAGGTGTACATGACAAGTTATTGACGCTTCGCGCTTTCCCACCTTCCCATCCGGAGTCAATCGGAAACGGAGTTCCCTGTATCAAGAATGTGTAACAGCATCCAGCGGAATAGACAGGTGACTCGGCCGTCAAGCCCAAGCTTGGAATCGACCTGAGCAGACACAGGAGCGGGATTGCCGAGCCTGCCGTCGCAGAAGGAGGATCATAGCGCGGAGGGGAAAGTCCGTTTCGCGCTATGGACGCTGTGTTGGAGCCCCTGTTCGGGCTCTCTTGGGCCGTCATGAAGCCATCTCGAGGCAGCAAGAGCCCGATCGGCGGCGAAAAAGCCAGAAGACAGTAACCACTGGTTGTCCAACGTGTTTTGGAAGGGTTTTGCCCTCTAGTGAAGATCCTCGGGGGGCTCCATGGCCACTTGGGGCCGGCTTGAAGCTATCTCGGGGCCTGTTGGAGGTATCGTGGAAGCCATCCTGAGCTATATATATATATATATATATATATATATATACAATGTCATCTTGGTGATTCGATTCGGCTATCTAGAGGTATGTTGCCAGCTTGGATGCTCTAACCCCTCGCGAAGCCTTCCATCCAAATTTACCAGGCCCAGGGGATTGGGCATGGGGAGGGGTAAAGTCCTCCCTGGAGGGATGATGAGCAATGCAAATGTAAGCGCCTTGAACCACATCCGCCCACAGAGCTGGTAGGATAAACTTGTGCTCCTTTCCAGGATGCCACGTAAGGATTCTTTTCGTGGAGGTTTACATGTTCATTCGTGCTGCGGTCGATTACATATTCCCCAACACAAGTATCAGGATGCCCGGACCACCAATGTAGACGTACATGGGGGGTTTTTCAAAGCTATGTGTTCGTGTTGTCTCTTTCGTTCTCTGTGTTGCGGTAGTCAGTTCAGGCTTGATAGAATGCGTGTATCAGGGTAACCGCTGAGTTTCCTGGGACATTCAGCGCTTACCCTGATACGCACATATTTACAGGGCGTCCTGGGAGACCGGTCTGTAAGGAGCGATTCCCAGCGATTATGTTGCAGAGGTTAAGTGCGTGTTTTCTTCATTTGATGGTCTTCGCATTGAGAGATACCGTTTTGTCGGCACGTCCTATGAAGGCAGCGACGCGGTACGGAGAAGGAGACACTGTCCCCATCGGAGTCTACCGGCATACAGGACGACGTTCCAGATGGACACGGTCAGCCACAGGGTTGGGGGTGAGTTGGGCACATTCAGCGGGTCTTCGGTGTTTTTCGTGTTGAACATTGTTTCGGCCGTGTTGGTTGGTGTACCGACTTGTTTGACGTATTTGCACGTTCAGCCATGTTTTGCACGTTTGGTCATGCGGTTAGCAGTAAAGACCTACATGTGTTCTGGATGTTTGTGCCGTCGGTGTGGCCACGCTGTAGTTGGATGGAGGATGGTTCAAAAGGTCAGTGGTGTACGCACTGCGGACCAATATGGCGGACACAGTATATCGAAGAAGAGCAAACCACATAAACATAAATTGTTGGCGCTTTGTGCGGATTTCTTGGATCCGTGCCTGGGCCCCCCGGCGGCGCCTCCAGCGCCGACCCTGGCGCGCTCCGCGCGCCAGGGAGGGGGGTCCAGCGCGAATCCGAGGATGTGGTTGTTTCTCTTCTTCCTGTGCAGCGCAAGAGAGTCGGGCTGGTCTGTGTGCCTGCTACAGGCGGCCTGGATCAGTAGGTCGACCCTGCCAGATCAAGGGACCCTCGTGTCCTGTGTCTCGCGACCCGTGGCTCCTGCATTTCTGTGGCAACGCGGCCCCCGGAAATGTCTTGTGTCCTCTCGCATGTCCTGTCGAATCAAGTCCGACTGTACTTAACTGGGCATCGCCGTGCATTTTTTTCTCGGCAAGGACCGTCGAGGAGCATTTTTTCCACCTTGCGACAAAATACACGCACGAAACCGAGCAGTGCACAAAGGAATGGGCGTCCGAGCGATGGCGAGGTGCAGCGCAAGGGAGTCGGGCTGGTCTGTGTGCCTGCTGCTGAGCTGGGCATCGCTGACGCGACGGGGGCTGGATGCGATGCGGGCCTGCGCGTGCCGGCCGCTGCAGGCGAAGCGCCGCCTCCTCGAGGGGAGAGCAGCGGGTCCACGGCAGCGGCTGCGCGGGAGGACTCCCGTGCCACGGGCTTCTCCTCGAGCGAGGGAGGTCCAGGCCTCCTAGATGGGGTCGGAGTAGATGGGGTCGGTGGATCGCGCCGCATCGCCGATGCATCGCCGATGCATCGGCGATGCGGCTCGATGCGGAGCCCGATTTTCTCCACGCCGACGTTGCTGATGTACCGCCGACGTCGCCAGTGCATGGCCGATGCATTGGCGATGCATCGCCGATATATCGGCGATGCGGTGAGATCCCCGGACCCCATCTACTCGGACTCCATCTAACCGCATCCGGCAATTGAGACCCACCCCCTTGCCGGCGAAAGTATAACGCGCCCGGCCCTCCAGAAGCGTTACCCTGGCACTTCGCACCTTTATGTGAACGCAGATGAGTCTGCTCGCACAAAAACAAGCAAACAGCCTGAGACATTCTCGCAATATTTTGGCTCGTATTCGCCGTTACGGATCAAGCCGAGGGCCAAGGCCTCAGTCAAGAGGCCTTGGCCCAGCTAAACAGAAAAACCCTCCTGCTCCTCCTCAAGACTCCCTCACGGCACGGCACCAACACGAACAACGATAATAATACCAGCAATGAGAATTATATCTAGAACAACAAGGCCAGTAACAGCAACACCAACAACAACATCAACATCAAAAATACCAACAACACCGCCAACACCAACAATAGCAACATCAAGTCCCACGCAAGGGAGAGCCCAGTTTTGAAAAGGAACCGTCCGTGCCTACGATGGGGGGCGAATCATTTTGGCGGTGCGGGTGCTAAGATAACGCGCCGTGCGTGGCGGGGGCGATATCTTCGGATGCACTACCCCACACGACGGCCTGGAAACAACAATTTTCAATAGGGGTGGTAATAAGAATCGTATAGGACAAGGATGATGCAGTAAATGAGAAGAAGGTGGGAAGGAGGAAAGACACAGGGGAGCCCGTCTGCTTTCTGATTGTTATTGTTAGTCTTATCCTTACTCGCATTCGAATTCTTATTATTGTTCTTATTATTAGTCTTATCCGTAGTTATTACTATGGTTATTGGTCTTCTTGTATTTGTTGTCTCTTGTTGTCTTTTTGGACAAACCGTCGTAATTATTTTGTGCGGGTGCGGTGCTAAGATAACGCGCCGTGCGTGGCGGGGGCGATATCCTCGGATGCACTACCCCACACGACGGCCGGTAAAAAACAATGTTTCAACAGGGGTGGCAATACACATCGCATAGGACAAGGATGATGAAGATAATGGGAAAAAGCTCTCATTCTTACTAGCATTATTATTTTTAGTATTAGTGTTTGTATTGTTATTCTAATTTCGATTATGATTATTATTATTACAATTCCAATTGGGGTATCACCCGAGCCGGGGCGCGGGAATTATTTATGTTCGTTCCATTTGCGCGGTGCTAACTATATCGTTCGGCGAACACCGCCCCCCAGAATTGTTTGATTACGGCGCGGTGCTAATGATAACCCTTGGGGGTCCTCAATGGCTTCATGAGGTTAGGAGGCCTCTAGCAGCATTATCGGAGGCCTAGAGGTTGACACCAACACCGATATCGCCGTTGTGCCTCCACCGAGGCAAGAAGATCCCGATCTCGGCGATGGTGCCATGGGCTTCTTTTCGAGCGAGGGTGAGCATCAGCGGTCGTGACTGTTTCGTGGCTCGAGGAGGCCTGAGTCGTGGGGGACGCAGGAGGACGGGATCGAGGTTCTCGGGCTTGGTCGGCCGCCGACGGCCAAGGATGGACGCCGAGGGTCGCCGATGGACACCGAGGGCGAGGGAGAGCAGTATCGGAGGCCTAGAGGTTGACACCAACACCGATATCGCCGTCGTGCCTCCACCGAGGGAAGAAGATCCCGATCTCGGCGATGGTGGTAATATTCTGGCTTCCGAGGTGGCCGAAGGATTACCACCAACACCAAACTCCAGGATCATCTTCCTCCCGTGGAGGCAACCCTTGGTTTGAGTGTTGGTGCCCATTTCCAAGCTTCACCATTAGCAGGAGGATCCGTGTTTGTGAGGTCCACACGCGTTATTTCACATGGCGGTTGATTGCCACACGCGTATATCTCTATGTATCTATATGTGTATATATATATATGTGTGTACACCGTTGTTATGTTGTAGCTCTGTATTGCGCACACGGTTCGGACGCATATCATAGTGTTCCGTGCACGCACCGTTTCGAGCACATGCCAGTGATTCGAATAGTGGTTCATAGTGGTTGCGCAATGAATCGAAGCATGCGAGTTGATCGATTCGTCTACGCATGTTTGCATGCTCTTCGGGTTTATGTGATGCGAGCATGCTGCATACGACGAAATACCCTAGCCATGGTTGGTCACAAGACTGCCCAAAGTGCTGACTGTGGTAACCATTTGACTGGCAGTACTTCTTCCACAAGGTAGACGAACAAACGTTTCGTGATTCACCACGTGTGCCAAATCGCAACACCACAACATCATGACCAAGAGCGTGACCCTGGGCTGTTGAATTTTAAGTTCGTAATGTGTAACTTGACCCGTCTCTCGCCACAAAACATCAAACCTAAGAAACCTGTTTAAAATGTCAACGCGATCTAGAGTGTTCGAGGGGTTCGAGGGTTCCCACGGGACGTCCTGGAGAGCTTCCCGGTACCCCCAGGGAGTTCGTGTAGGGGTCGAGGACCTCCCCGAGGATTTTTGGAGGGTTTGAGAGTTCCCCCGGGGGTTTCCTGGAGGGTGTTGGAGGGTTCCAGTTTACCCGTGGTGGTTCTTGGGGGGTTTGGGCGGGGGGGCTCCAGCCCTGAAGATTCTTGGAGGGTTCGTTCCTTGGACGATTTCTTGGAGGTTCTCCCGAGAGGATTTCCTGGAGGATTTCTTAGGGGTTCCCCCCAGAGGTTCCTGAAGTTTTTCAGGGCCCCACATGAGGGTTCCTGGTGGGTTCGATGGTCCCCCAGAGGGGTTCCAAGAGGCCGCCCAGGGTCCTGGGTGGTACCCCGACGTAGTGAACGGCCTTGCTTTGTTGACAGTTGCTTCGTAGTACCAACCACTCCCCACTGTGTTGCGACATGTGGACAATTCTAGATTCAAGTAGGTTCCACGTCTGCAAAATGTGAGCCTCACCTTTAAAATGTATGTTCGGACGGCCCTCTTATGTCGTCAGTGCGCCCCAAAGTGCCATCAACTTGGCATTATTGGTACCACGTGTCACCACGGATCTGCGACTCGACGACACACCACGACACGGTGACACCATGATGTCACGAGACAATTGCATGCGGAGACCACAGGGAGGACGAGGGAGGGCAGGAGGAGGAGGAGGAGGGAGGGAGACGAGCGCGCTGCTGATTCACGTTGAGCTCTGCAATCGCGCTGTCGCTTGGGGCTTCCCCGTAATTTACTGGGGTATTGCGCTTTCGCCTTTTCTGGAGTCGCGTCTCGTCTCAGACTTCATGACATCTTATTCACGGGTCGCGCTGTCGCTTAAATGTTGCAATGGTCTCGAGAATTGGATTTTCGTTTGGGATTTCCTTACAATTCATTTGGGCATCGCGCGTTCGCTAAAAAGAAATCGCGCTCCCGCGTGTTACTTTCAAGTCGGGCCTGTCCCTCTACAGGGGGGGAATTCAGAAATAGAAAAAAATTAGCCTGGGGACGATTTTTCTAGTATATGTTGAATTTGTTCGAGTATGTTTGAGTATGCGGAGAATATGCCTGACCTACTGTCAGGTCATCGCCGCCATCTTTGTTGTATTGCCCGCCTGGCCCGCTCGCTGGGGTCCGCCCGCCCGCCTTGTTGGTCCACGCACGTTTTCTCTGAGCCGTCAGTCTACATCGTATCGCGCCACATGTACTAGCCTTAAGTTGGGCCTGTCCCTCTACAGGAGGAATGTTCAAAAATAGAAAGAATAGTCGGGGAACGATTTTTCATTATTTTCAAGCATGTTTGAAGTATGCTTGGGGTATTTTTCATTTGTCTCCCAAACTCCCGCTGTAGGGGGACAGGCCCGACCTAATACTAGCCCACGCCGATGCGTACCTTACAGTGTTCAACATGGATGATGCCCCATGCATTGCACCACACAGCTTGCATAACAGAGCGTGCACAAAATAGCCCGCACCACCTATGTTGCGGTCTTGTACGCACAGGGAGGTGCGACTGCCCCTACGGCTGTTGGCTGTGTAGACTTGATCAGATCTAGCCGACACGGCCCATGTGTACATTTTCCAGTGGTTGTTGCATTGCCGCAGAAGGATGCGATTATTGTTGCATCTAAGTTCACGGTCTGTTGGTGAGCATTGGTTGCTTGCAGGATGCACGGTCAAAATGAGAGCGGTATTGATTGCGTGTGTTTGTCAATGCCGAGGATGCAGAAGCTATTGACAGCAACGAGGAGGAGTGCCCCGATTACCTCGACAGCGACGGGGACGAGATTGATGCAGAGTTTGCCCGGAGGACTCATGTGGCCATTCATTTACATGATGGCGTGCGTGCGCACGCGGGGCAACCCCAAGGGACAGTAATCCAGTATCAGACAAGTCTGACATCGCACCGTTTACTATCTTCTTGTTTGAATCCCACGTTGGCATGGCCAACGAAGCATTGCACGCATGAGCACGGGCGCGCATGTAATGACAATTATTTGGCTAATGGCGATGTTGTGTCATGCGTGGCACATTTCGCAGTAGCAACGCAGCTCATATGCTGGGGCCACGGAAGCAGAGTGCAGCATTGTTGGACAGTACACAATGGGGTGGTCCAGGCATGCCGTTCGAGCAAGCCCAGGAACAGCAACGACAGACACATCATGGTTGGATGCGCCAGTTGTGAGGCTTGGGTCGCGATCCACACAAGAGTCGATCAGTTGCGCGTTGCATGCCGTCATGTTAGGAGATTATTCAGTCAGGCTGATGTTATACATCGAATCGGTGCGTCAGGGTCCGCGAGCACATGCGGCACCGAACTCAGGCCAGGGGCGCGCCTTGAGCCTGAAGCGCGCAGTTGCAGCAAGTGGAAAGACGTTGGAGTTGCAGCAAATGGAAAGACGTTGGAGATGTTCAAGCGCTTGTCCCATTTACAGTGTGCGTGTGTGTGTGTGTGTCTGTGTGTGTCTGTGTGTGTGTGTGTCTGTATGTGTGTCTCTGTGTGTGTCTCTGTGTGTATCTCTGTGTGTGTCTCTGTGTGTGTCTCTGTGTGTGTCTCTGGGTGTGTCTCTGGGTGTGTCTCTGGGTGTGTCTCTGGGTGTGTCTCTGGGTGTGTCTCTGGGTGTGTCTCTGGGTGTGTCTCTGGGTGTGTCTGGGTGTGTCTGTGGATATGCCTGGGTATGTCTGAGTGTGTGTGTGTCTGGATGTGCCTGGGTGTGCCTGGGTGTGTCTGCGTGTGCCTGGATGTGCCTGGGTGTGCCTGGGTGTGTCTGCGTGTGCCTGGGTGTGCCTGGGTGTGCCCGGGTGTGCCTGGGTGTGCCTGGGTGTGTGTGCATATGTGTGTGCGTGTGTGTGTGTGTGTGTGTGTGTGTGTGTGTGTGTGTGTGTGTGTGTGTGTGTGTGTGCGTGCGTGTGTTGTGGTGTGGTGTGTGCGTGCGTGCGTGGTGTGTGTGTGTGTGTGTGTGGCGTGGTGTGTGTGTGTTGTGTGTGTGTGTGTGTGTGTGTGTGTTGCGCGTGACGCGCGTGTGTTGTGTGTGCTGGTGTGTGTGTTGGTGTGTGTGCTGTGTGTGTTTGTGTGTGCGTGTGTGGGGTGTGTGTGTGTGCGCGTGTGTGTGTGGTGCGCTGGTGTGGTGCGTGTGTGTGTGCGTGTGTGTGCGTGTGTGTGTGCGTGTGTGTGCGTGTGTGTGGTGTGTCGCGTGTGTGGTGGCGTGTGTGGTGGTGGTGTGTGTGTGCGGTGTGTGTGTGTGTGCGTGTGTGTGCGTGTGTGTGCGTGGTGTGCTGTGTGTGCATGGTGTGTGTGTGTGTGTTGTGTGTTGTTGTGTTGTGTGTGTTGTTTGTTGTGTGGTGTTGTGTGTTTGTGTGTTGGTTGTGTGGTTTGTTGTTGCGGTGTATGTGATTGTGTGTGTGGGCGGAAGGGCGGTGTGTGGTGTTGGGGTGTGTGTGTGTGTGGGTGTTGTGTTGTGTGTGGGGGTGTTTTTGTTGTGTGGGGGTGTCGTGGTGTGGGCTGTGCTGTGGCTGTCGGGCTGTGGGGGTGTGGGGTGTGGGGGTTGTGGGGGTGGGGGTGTGGGGGTGTGGGGTGTGGGGTGTGGGGGTTGGGGGGGTGGTGTGGGGTGGGGGTGTGGGGTGAGGAAGTTGTGGGGGTGCGGGGGTTGAGTCGAGGTGGCGGGGTCCGGGTCGGGGTGCGGGGTGTGCCATGTTCGGGGGTTCGGCGGTGGCGGGGTGAGGGTGGTGGTGGTGTGGGGTGTGGGTGTGTGAGGGGGTGTCGGGGTGTCGGGGGGGGATGTCGGGGTGCGGGGGTGAGGGGGTGTGGGGGTGTGGGGGTGAGGGTGTGTGTGGGGGTGTGGGGGTGTCGGGGTGTGCGGGTGTGCGGGTGTGGATGGGTGGGTGGGTGGGTGGGTGTGTGGGTGTGAGTGTGGGTGTGGGTGTGTGTATATGGGTGTGTGTATGTGTATGTGCGCGCGTTGCTGAAATAGCTCCGCAGTTGAAGCTTGCAAGTTCACGACGACTGGCAGCAGAAAGCGAGCCCATGACGGGAGACGAGAGCAGCAAACGTTGACCGCATGGTTCGCGTGTGGGTATTTCACTGTGCAGCAGAAAGTGTTTTTCAGTGCCAAGTGTGCGGTACAGCATGTTGTTTTGAGAGTGGACAAGATAGTTCGCTTCAGAATTGGCACATTGGAGTTTGCTCGCGCCGCAAATGTCCAGCTACTAGTTTCAGTGCTTCTGTTAGCCAGTGGGAATGGTTTTTCCCGCTGGTTAACGGAGATTCCCCCGCCGCGCACATCCGTGAAGAATGGCATGGCGCAGGGTGGGTCCAGGACCCGCTCGAGCCCCACCCACTACTCCTTGATGTGATCATTCGTCCGCCCCTGCAGATCCAGAGGGCCCGATACCAAAACATCTGTAAGTCCGCGGGCGCCTGGTGGTCAGTGACGGTCAGACGCCGAATCTGGAACTAGAACAGAGCTCGCGGTTTTCAGCCAACCCCCTGGCAGGAGGGTGAGGCGCGGACGCAGAGCGGCAAAAGGGCTAGTGCCGCTCGCAGAGGGCTGGACCGAACCGCCCAGCGACCCCGACATTGCCAAAGCCGCTCTGTGACGTCGCTTGCCCTACTCGGCCTCCAGCAGGGTAGGGCTCGCCTGGCTCCTCTTCTCCCCCCACCCATGCTCGGATCCATAGCTCGGCATCGCTCGGACGTGTGCATTTTCTTTCTCGGTGAGGACCTTCGAGGAGCATCCTCGACAATCTGGTTAAAAATTACGCACGAAGCCGAACAAAAACACAGGGAATGGCCGTCCGAGCGACGGGGAGACAGGGGTTGGCCAGGCTCCTGATTCCCGATGTGCTTTCCTCCGGACGGGATGGTGATCGTGATGGCCCGCCATGGAGAGTGGGACGCTCTGGGAGGAAGCCTACTCCTCCGCATCCCTGGCAGCCGCCAGGCCGCCGGCAAGGGGGAGCACTCCCAGACCGAGCGCGGGAACCAGCTCCTCAAGACGCTTTGCGAGAGGCGGGACCCCCTGATGGGCTTGTTTTCCACTACCACCACCACCATACGTCAGAGGGGGAGGAGGAGGAGAAGGAGGAGGAGGAGGAGCAGGAGAAGGAGCAGGAGGAAGAGCAGGAGGAAGAGCAGGAGGAAGAGCAGGAGGAGGAGGAGGAGGAGGAGGAGGAGGAGGAGGAGGACCCCCTCCCCTTCGACTTACGGTGGTGGGTGGTGGAAAACAGGCCCATCACCCCCAACCAGCCCGAAGGCAGGGAGGCGGCAGGGCCGGCAGCGCTCGGCCTCTGCCCGCCCTCCCTCCGAGGCGGGGGCCCGCCCGGCGCCCCCGCCGAAGGGGATGGGCATCCGTGTCGGGGCTGGGCAGAACTTGAGTCTGTCTGTTGGTCAGAGATCGGGCTCTGTTGGGGGAGCCCCACACGGGGTGAAGACAGTTAGGTTTTCATGTTGGTTTTCGGACCCAGGGGGGGCGACACTTGGTGTTGCACTGAGATCTTGGTGAGGACATGTTCTGATCAACTTCATCATTCGCTGAAAATCTTCTTCAACCTCCTCCCCATCCTTTTTCTTCCTCCTCATACTCCTCCTCCTCGTCCACGAGTAAAGGGTTTACGGAGGGGGAATGAGGGAGAAGGGGGGATGTACATAGATATTGGGGTAGTAGGAGGGATGGGCACCATTCCAGGCGAGAGGAGGCAGAGGGAGGAGGGGGGGGTGGAGTAAAGAGGGACAGAGGGAAAACATGAGGGAGGACACTGTAGGTGCAGAGACATGCTAAATATTGTAGTCGTTTTCGAGGGGGTCATTGGCCATTCCCCACATGTACAGGGGGAAGCATAATGAATACATTATCGATGTGAGCCTTATGGAGGGGGTCTTGGTTCGCAGGGCCCTCACCCCACCCAGTGTCATTTTCGATGGGGGCCTTCCGAAACCCCACCCATTGTAATTTTCGATGGGGTCCTTCCGAAACCGTTTTGGCTCAAACCATCGATGAGTGGTTCCGCTGAGAGTCCTCCGCGATGTTGATTAGCCAATCAGTTGTTATCCATATATTTGCTGTTCTTGGGTTCTCCGACTTCGGTACCTCCATAAGGCTTGACTCGTTCAACCGCGACGGCATCTCCAAGGCCGACGCCTCCATATTCGTCGACTGGTTCGACCGCGACGGCATCTCCAAGGCCGACGCCTCCATATTCGTCGACTCGTTCGACAGACACGGCATATCCAAGGCACACGCCTCCATATTCGCCGACAAGCCTGATCGTTGCAACAACACTTTCGGCAGCGAGATCGGCACTACTGGCGGCAGCGACTCTGACACTACTGGCATCGGCGCTACTGGCAGCGACATCTTCACTACTGGCAGCGAGATCGGCACTACTGGCAGCGGCATCGACACTACTGGCACGAGTACTGGCAGCGACTTCGGCACAATTGGCGACAACAGCAACATGGACATGGATCAGTTCGAGGAGTTGGAGGTGGAGGAGGCGCCAGCTCCAGCAGCAGCAGCAGCAGCTCAGCAGGCGCAGCTCCCTTTCGCGTTGCACCAGTTCGAGGAGTTGGAGGTGGAGGAGGCGCCACCAGCAGCAGAAGCAGCACCGAGACGGAAGCCATCGAGGTCGGCCGAGGGCGTCGGCCACGCGAAGGAGGTCAAGTTGAAGAAAGCGGTGAAGGAGCTCAAGCAGAAGTTGAAGGTTGGGGTGGTGGGCTCCAGCGCACCTGCGACGGTTCATCCGCACCGTCGCTTCGCCAACCCAGCAAGCTGGGTTGGCGAGGTGGGGGGTGGCGGATGAGCAGATGCAGGCGCGAGGAAGCCTTGCCCACCTCGTGAAGGCGGAGAAGGCTTCCCACGAGGCCATCATCAGGAACGTTGCCGCAATGGTGCCAGGCTCGGAGCTGATCACTGGGAGACCTGGCACGGCGTTGGGGAGGAAGCGCAAGATCGAGGCGGCTCGGATATGACCGAACTCACCTGGCACCCATCGCCCCTTGCCCCCATGCACCCCTCCCCCATCGGACTTTAGGGGGAAACGCGGGGGGGGGGGGCCGATGGGTGCAGGCGAGTTTGGTCATCGACAGGCGGGCGACTTCCAGCTGGCCACGCGGGCCGTCTTCCTCAAGTTCAAACGCAACATCAACATCGGAGTGAAGCACGAGCGCATCCAGACAGTTGCTTGTGCAGTTGCTCGGCTGCGGCAGGAGAAGGCTCTCAAGCATTGCTTCGAGAAGAGCGCGGTGGCCATCGAGTTCTCCGGCGACAACATAGTTCATGCGTCTGGAGGACATGTGGGACGAGGTGGAGGTGAAGCAGGCGTGGCGCCCGTCGAAGAAGTACCGCGCACTGAGGAAGAACGTTGCACAGCCAACATTGGTGCAGCGCACCACCGTCAACCTGAGCCTCGTCAACCTCAGCCGCAAGGAGGGGGGGCAGTTTCAAACTATTGGGTATCTCCAGCCCACGGAGGTCGGCGGCACGAAGGCGATGCATTTACTTCCTGGCATTCTGAAGGGCATGCCAGAGCAGTGGGATTTCCAAAAGGTAGCGAAGCTGATCGAGACGCTCGGCGCAGCATCGAGCCTGACGTTCATGCCAATGTGCGACAAGGCCAGCAGCAACGTGAGCATCATGAAGATGTGGGCGGGCGCCGAGCAGCAGTTTAAGGAGGCGTTGCCCGAGCTTGGCAAGAAGTTGCTGTATTTTCCAGATACGCGCGGTATACATTCACACCACCGCGGCAAGCTGGCACTCAAAGGACTGCGCCCACACACCATGAGACACTATTCGATAGCGTCGATGTCTAGATACAGAGGCAACCTCTCGCGGTGCATCCACGGCATCGAGAATATCGTTCAGTCTCAACTTCATCGAGAGGTTGGCCCAGCCCCTCCAGTCCCCGACACGCTGGAACGAGTGGCGGACTTCCTCTACGACTTCAGCGCTGGACACCACAGACGACCAGGCAAGGGCGGCAAGGGCGACGGCGAGTCGCAGCTTCTGAAGGACCTGAAAGGTTTGACCGCCATGGCCAACGGCAGCCTTACGGCAGAGAAGTGGACGCACTGGTGTTGGGGCGCCTCCCTGCAGCGCCCGTGCTGCAGATCGCTGCAGGACTCCGTGGAGAAGACGACGGTTGCAGCAGTCCACGCTCTTTACGGGAGCGCGGATCCGCGGCCGGCCGAAATCCGTTGGACTCATTCACTTCCCAGCTTCAAGCGCACGTTGGTACGCAGAATCCTACGCAGAGTTGGGCTGGACTGCTTCGTTGATACTACCAAAGAGGGCGAGCTCGACGGACTGGGCGGGCAGCAGTTCGGCGTGGATCAGGAGGGTACCGACGCGTTCTTCAAGCACATCATTCGGGTGCGGACCAAAAAGGTAAGGGACTACTACGCCGACGACCGCAACATGTACAAGTTAGTTGTATTCACGGCCGTTCTCGAGGCCAGCGATGGCAACTTACTGTATCCACTTCTCGGCGATGCGATCAAGGATAAGGCCGAGGAGAAGAGCAAATTGGATACGCTCCTCGGCGAGGACTCCGTCATCGGGCGCTGCAGCCAGGACGTGCTGGGCCTTCTAGATTCTTGGAGCACTGGAGATCGTACGCGGCGCCCGTGGATGCTACTTGATATTCTTGGCGCGCCCTTGACCGACCAGGTCTTTTCAAGATGGGCCAGGGGGCAGATTGTAAAGCTGACCACGGTCATGCGTCGCAGGTACGAGAGTCGGTTCAGCGCCTGGCCTTATAGGTTCTACCCTTTATCACACGGCCGCTCCACGGAAGCAGACAAGAAGAGGGTAGCTCGTGAGGCACTCGACGCACCTGACCACATGATCGACTGCTACACCAGGGGGATCCGCAACCTCTTCCCGTCGGACGCTGCATTGTTATCAACGCACTGCCGAACGGTTCTTGCTGCCGACTTCAGGGCGCATTGCTACGGGACCGGCATGATCGAAAGGCTGAACGCGCTATACACAGTTCGCCACCCAGTGCGCGCTCCAGGCAGGAACGCGGTCAACGCGGAGCGTGAACATTTCTTGGACCAGGTCAAGGCCATCCACCAGAAGCAAGGCGGCGACGACCCCCTTGCAGTACGTAAGTTGGGCAATTCGTCGTCAGTGGAGGCGGTCACTTACATTCCTTTATTGGACGGCGCTTCATTCGGTTCGGTGCCAGTTCTACCTGCCCTCGGCGATGCGCCTGCTCCGATGGCGATCGAGGATGCGCCTGCGAACGCAGACGAGCAAGCCATCGCCCCAGCAGCACCCGCAGCGGAGCACAGGAACTTCGAGGAGCCCATCGTCGCGCGCATCCCGAACCCGAACCTGCTACCAGGAGACCGCGCGGCCAGTGAAGAGGCCGATGGCGATGGCACCAAACGCTGGCTTAGACGATACATGTTGGCGAAGAATCGGCACCTCGAAGATGCTAGGAAGTCGAAAGGATCACGGATGATCTGGGGCGAATGCGTAGCTCACGGCGAGGAGTTCAGGGAGCTCTATGCAGATGCAGATCCAGACGTCTACAACGAAGCCTACGCTGATTGGCGGCATAGTGGAGGTCAGCATCAACATGAGCAAGTACAACAACCTTACGAACTGTGGTGGGGAGGCGGCAGCAGAGCGAGCCCCTTTACGCCAGGCGAGCTCTGCCAGTACATCGTTCAGCACGGGTGGCCGAAGGACAGCGCCGTGTTCGACGTTGACCTCGTCGAGAGGAGGGCCACCCCAGATTTCAAGACCAAGTTCACGGACACAGACGAGATCGACCCTTGGGGTATGTCACGTTCGGCGAGGAATGCCGACAGACCTGGGTCGAGGGTTCCAGCAGCCTGGGATGTCGTGGAAAAGGGGATCTACAAGTTCTTGCTGTCTATCAATGCTGGCAAGGGCGAGGATGACGCCTCGGGCGTAATGTTGATCATTGCAGGCCGAACTGTCCACGGTGATGGCCACATGAGGTTTGCGAGCTTGGTCACCGACGTCACCTTCAACCCGTGCGTTTTCGACGTGACGTTGAACGAGTTCGAGAAGCATGCCCACGAAGTGTCGGAGGAGACGCGTCGGGCTCGGAATGGCCGCCGCCCGCGCCGCCCGTTGTCCGGTAAGAGTACATGTTTCGGGCCCCGATTTTTCGCCGCCCGCGGCGCCCGTTCCCCTGTAAACAGTTATTTGTTCTGGCCCCGACGTTTCGTTAAATCGGGGGTCTGGCGGTCCTGGACTGGGGGAGTTTTTCTCGCGGGCATGGTCAGCGCGGGGCGGCGGCCACTCTGTGCTCAAGGAGTTGGCGCTACCGTCTTGGGTGAATATCGCGGAGCGGCAGAGCAGGGTCAGCGTCAGGCATCGAGCTATCGATACCAACACGTCGGACCAATGGATAAACTTACTCATCGACAAGCTGCAGCATATGGACATGTACATCGCCGGTTACGAGATCTGCCACGGCACAGGGACGCTGAGGAGATCAAAAATCATAGGTTTGAAGCTCATCGGCCGCCTCTGGGATCCAAGCATGCAGAAACCTTTAGCATTTTATCGTCGAGGTGGAGGCGATCCGAAGATGCGCGAGGGCGACCCCTTCGGCGAGGAGGCCCAGGCGATTGCAGACCGAGATCTTGCACGGCAGCGCGGGGGCCGAGGACGTGGCAACAGAGGACGTGGAGGCCGAGCACGTGGGCGCGGACGTGGACGCGCAGTCGCAGGTGCTTTGCCTGAGGGCCCCCATGCCGCCTGGAGCACCCGAAGAACCCCTGCCCATCGCCGACGAGCCAGAGCCATTCGTACGCGAGGACCCGCCTGACCTTCATGATGAGCGTGCTCTCGACATGGCTGATTCGGACTGCCAGTCTGAGATCGAGGAGGTGGAGGAGCTCGAGGCCGTCCACATGGAGGGGAAGCTGCCCGACTACATGGCCGAATGGCAACATCCACCAGTGGTCCCAGGCCCTCTCCACGTAGATGGTCGCCCGCCTGCCGATGATTTTCTAGACGAGGAAGAGGGTGCAGCAATGGCCGAGGCAGCGTTTTCCTTTTTGGAGGAGGTCGAAGGGGCCCCAGGGGATCCAGCTGCGGGGTCTTCCACGGATGGTCCACCACTCCCTCCCCCGCCAGATCCCCCTCAGGAGCCTTGGCAACTTTTGTCAGATAAGAGCCCTCAAGGTTACTATCATCTAGGTGGTAGGCAGGTTTTGCGGGTACAGCGGGGCAGGTCAGTCAATTCGGTTACGATAACCTGCTACCGTCACAGAGGGTGTTCAATCTGTGTGCCAAGGCATTTGTGCGGCACGGATGAGGACATAGTTAAATGGTTGTTCGAGGTGGAGCCGACGCCTGACGGCGCCCATGTATCCGTGAACAAACCATTGGCGAAGCAGCATATGGATCCTGGTAGGGCGAAGTGGAGTGCGAAGGCTCACAAAGCGAAGGCTAAGGCTAAGGCCGCGGCCTGAGTGATGCAAGCTTGAGGTGGGTGATCCCAGCCCAAACCCTGATAAACCGCAAGCACGCGCACACATAAACAAACCACACGCACACATAACAAGCTTGCGTCACTCAGGAAGGAGTAGGCAACCGCCCTCAACCCCTGGCCCTCTGCCAGCAGTCGGGGAGTGATGAGGGGGCGGAGGAGGGGGGGGAGGAGGAGGAGGAAGAGGAGGGATGAGGGAGGAGGGGGGGGGGGGGGAATGGGGAGGAGGGGTGGATGGTGGATGAGGGAGGAGGGTGGATGAGAAGGAAGAGGAGGGATACTGGTGGACTGGGGCGAGGCGGACGTGGAGAAGGGGGGATGACAGGGCGAGGGAGACGGTGGAGGAGGCAGGGGAGGACTAACACAGGAATGACGGGGGGGGGGGGGCGCGAAGAGGAGGGGGGGGGGCACGAGGAGGGGGGGGGGGGGGGACGGAGGAACGCCTCTTGCACGCTGGCGAGAGACGCGCTGCGGCCCATGCAGGGCGCACAAAGGCATTTGGCCGTTCCGAGAAAAAAACATCATGGCATATTATGCGTTTCCTGTGAGACATCCCACTTGTTCCAATGCATAAGCCTTGGAGTTACAGGCGAATCCATATCAGAAGCGCAACAGGCATCATTATCACCATCGTAATCGTTTACCAAAAAACAATTAAGCCCCCAAGAGGACCCCTGGCAAACCCGAGAGGGCCCCCACCCGACCCCAAGGGCTTCCCAAACGCCCCAGAGGGAACCCAGGGAACCCCAGGGCTAGAAGCGGCAGACACCTGAGCAGCACTTCCACAGCAAGGATGCTAATAATATGAGAAGAATAGAAAAATGTGCATGTGCATATATAATATAATAATACGTTTAGGCAATTTCCCCGGGGAAAAGGTAGGGCATGACTCTCCACAGCCTGGGCTCCCCCGGAGAACCTGCGGTTCACTCCTCCCCTCCTCCTCCGTTGCCCGGGGGATGTGGCGCCCGTGTTCCTGTTGCCCCTCCTTTCGTTGCTCGTGCTTTCGCCCCGCAGCCACTTGGGCTCCGTTGGCTGATGTGGGAGCCTTCGGAGCCTTCGGACCCTGATTCTGCAGGCGAGGCCCGCCCGGGAAAGGGGGGGCACCGCAACAGGGAGGGGGGGAACGGCCAGGAAGTGAAAGATGTTGGGAAAGGGAGGCGAGGGGGGAAGGTATGGATAAGGAGGAAAGGGAAAGGAAGAGTGGCTTTGAGGGGAGGGATTACCCCAGCGCGACCCTACTTAGGAGTCGGACCCCCTACGAAAGCAGCATTAGTAGTAACAGTAAAGTTCACTGCTGGTGGCCGCTGCCTGGTAGCCGGGTAGCCCTTGCGAGCGCAGGCGGTCGCTCGCCCTTGGTTTGGCCTGGCCTGGCCGCGGGCCCAGGCCGCCAGCCCGAAGCCCAAGGCCCAACGCCTTCGGCTTTTTGGTCATCTCACCAGAGGGCGGCGCGCTCCCGCTCCCGCGATCACCGCGGGCCGCGAGCACGAGCGACGAGCGGCCCCCGACAGGTTGCCGCCGTCGTGGGGCCAGCGCTGCCACATTGCCAACGTGGTCACATTGCAGTTGCAGTGCCGCCGCCAGCAGCGCCACCACAGCGCCCCGTCATTGCCGCCCCCCCTTCGGTCATTTATCTGGCGCGATCAGGGGGCCGCGCGCGGCATGCAGGCATGTTGCGCCTGGGCCTGCGTGCAGTTTGCACACCGGTGCAGCGCCTGATTTTGTAATTGTTGTCAATATGTCTGCCCTCGTCTGGACATATGCGCCGCGCCGCGCCTTGGGCTGGCCCGATCCATTGCCGTCCATGGGCATTGGGCCATGGGGCCATGGGGGCACGGCATGGGATGGGCACTTGGCAATTGAATTGGCCATGGCGCCGCGACCGTGCCCGTCGGGCCGTCGGCCAGCGGTTCGTTGCAATCATCGGTTTCGGTTCCATTTGGCAGACCAGAGGCTGTAGTAATTGTAGTTAGTAAGTAAGTGCTAGGTAGCCCTTGCGCCTTGCGCCCTTGCGGCCTGGGGCCCAGCGCCCCAACGCATGTGACTTTAGCCGAACTTTAGCCTAACTTTAGCCCTCGGGCAGGGGCCGGGGCCGAGGCCAATCTGCTTTTTTGATTATCCTTGTCGCGCCGCCCGTTGGCGTCGACGTCGCGCGCGCTGGGGGCGACGGGCCCGAGGCCCCCCACGGCGTCGGGCATCGGGCGGGCCCCGGGCCCGGCCAACAGGCGGGAGGCCAGAGCGCAGCCAACAGGCGCGGAGCCTCCAACTCGGGAGCCAGAGCACGGCCAACAGGCGCGGGGCCTCCAGCCGAGGAGCCCGACGACCAGACGACGACGACGATGTCCCGCGCCAAGGCCGCCCAGGCAACGCCCGCAGAGGTTGCAGAGCCGCCCCCGGGAGGGGAGCCGGGGAGCAGATCGGGAAGCACGCGGCGAGGGTGCGCCCGGGGCGGGCGGGTATTTTTTCAGTTTCGGCGTTTTTGTATTTTTGCAAAAAATATAAAAAAAACGAAACGCAAAAACTATTAAAATAGTAAAAAAATAGTTTTTCCCACATGATTTTTCTATTTTTTATAATTATATAAGAAAAATACATCTCCCCGGGAGAACACCTATTTTTCCAGTTCGCGCAAAGAGGGTGGCCGGAGGGATTACCTACTTTTCGGAGACCTGTCAGGATCTAGTTCCCCTTGTTCTCGGCCGTTCGGCTGGCGGCCCTCGGCGCTGAAGACGTCAGTGCTGGGGTGCCAGTTGGCTTGACGGGCCCAGGCCGCGCACTGCGGCGACGTTCTGCGCGAGGCTGGAGGGCGCCGGCCCCGGCGCAGCCCCGGCGAACGCCAAGCCAAGCGCAGTCGGACTCGTCGACGTCGAGCGCGGTCATGTCTTGCACCCAGAGCTTCTGGGCGGGGCATGGGCAGGCCCGGGCGTTGGCCTGGGCCATCGCTGGCGCCATGCTGGTTCATTCCAAGTCCAAGTCGCGCTCGGGCCGATCGGGAGATCCAGCAAATTACGGCACGGCAGACTGCCATTGTGCCATTGTGGCCTGGTGCATGTTGAGTCAGGATGATCCAGGATGGCTTGCTACCCGCAGGGGCGGTGGGTTTACCGTTTACCAGTTCTACAAGTCGGGCAGGCGCTGGCGCCACTGGGGCCGAACTCTTGGCAAACATCCACGCGTGCGGCATGGCAGGGGCAACGAGCTAGAGCTGGAATCCTCTGATGTGCCTTGGCAGGGTCAATGCTGGCAGCTGCTGGCAATGCTCGCAGTCGGGCAGGCATTGGAGTCGAACTCGGCGTTGCGACATTTTTTGTTTCGTGATGCCCGGTGGGATCCAGCGTGGCAACGCTGATCTCTACTTCGCTTGGAGGCGCTGGAACCGAATTGAGGCAAACCTCATGACTCATGCAAGTCGGCCTGGTGGGAGCAACGAACGCTGCAAATCCTTTCAGGGGGGCCTAGTCACTCGTCACTAGTCCTAGTGACCTAGTGGCAGCGACGCTCGGGCAGGCGCTCGAGTCGCATGTCAGCGACCTGGTTGTGGCAGCTTTGTAGCAGCAGCTAGCAATGCTGATTTCTTCATGGAGTGGGAACAGTGCGACGTGCTCTGGGCGCCTGGTTCATGGGTTCGGGCAAACCACTGTTTGCGCGTTTTCCCAGCATTGCTCCGACGTGCTTTCTGTCAAATAGGTCGCGCGCGTCGCGCGCAGTGCAACGGCAGACGCGACGGCGAGCCCGGCGCACGGCGGCCGCGTCGATTGTTCTGCTCAGGCAGGGGCCAGAACAGGAGAGGGGGAGGATGAGAAGAGTCTTAGAAGGGGTGGGGGGCCGGAAGGGAGGTGGACGAGCAGAGGAGGAAGGCGACGGTAGGCAGGGGTGGGCGAGGACGAGGGGGCGGGGAGGAGGGACGACGGCAGGAAACGACAAAGGAAGGGAAGCAAACGAGGTGGAGGAAGAGAGGAAGCGCTGCACACGATCCGTTCTCTGTTGGTTATATCCACTGCTGCGCGGGATCCGCTGTTTTTGTTGTGAGCTTGTCTGGTTTGCATGCGGTTTTCATATTATTTTGATATTATTTGTGTATTTTGAGCATTTTCGGCAATACGTTGTGAGCCTTTGGGCTGGGTTGTATTAATACAAAAACAATACAGACATAATACGAGCGATATAGGAATGCCGCCTGTATTTTTATGATATTAATAGAGGGCGGTTTGTTTCTATGTTTTCGATAATAATAGGGGGCAACTTGTTTCTATTTTTTTCGATAATAATAGGGGGTTTGCTCTCTTTGAGCTCCTCAGGAGCTTTGCCGGATATAGCCCCAGGGAGGCCCCAAGTGGAGCTCAGTTGGTGACATACAAATTGGCACGTTGAGCTTTTTTCCTCAAGATGGCGGCCCCGATAGCCCCTTCCCCCCCCCCCCCCCCAGGGGCCCTCGAGGCGCCCCACAGAGGCCCCGACAAGCCCCCTAAAGGGCTCCCCACACGCCGCCAAGAGGACCCCAGGAGGCACCAGGAACCCCTTTCCCAGGCGTTCCCCAGACGCCCCTGAGACGCACCCCAAGGGACCTTCATAATACGCATCCAAGAAGCTCCTATCGCCGAGACCAGACACGGTGGCGGGGCGAACCGAATGCCATTCCAAAGTTTCAACGATCGCAATACGCTATCACGTTTTCTTGGGGGTCGTCGGAATGGCGCGAGCCACTTAGATAAATACGCTTACGCGCCCTATGGATAAAACAGTTATAACTGCGGCTAAATTTATTCGCACGCTGTCAAGGGTCGGGGCCTTCCTGGACCTTTTGCATGTGCGCTCGCGCGTTGCCGCGCGCGTGATTCGGTTTAGCGCACGATTCATGCCGCGCGCGTGCTCCGCTTATCCCGACCACGCGCGCGGCCGCGCATGCCGACCCAGTCCCCCTCGCGCCCGACTACGCGCAACTGTTTTTGCGCATGCGCCGCGGTCTAGTTGCACCCAGGCCCA